CCAACAATGGATTATGAAAAGATTCATTAGATATGAAATCAAAGATACTGTTTGGTCCCCCAAAAATATCTTTTCCCAAAGTTTGACAAAAGCAAGCATTTCCGCAGGGACCTGAGAAATAAGTCACTACCTGCTAAAAGGAAGTATTGCTATCTCTGACAGGAGGGACCTCTGCCCATTAGGGTCTAGACAAGCTTCTGGGCGCCTTCAGTCCCTACACACAAGTACCTGTTATACACTTTAAAACCCTTGATTCCAACTCACAGGCTCCCCTCCTCCCAGGTACCGGGTCCCTTAAAACTGGAAAACCTCCACCCCAGCCCACCATTGCTTCTCTCTGCTTGTTCACCTTGGAGGTTTAGGATAAACTTTTTCTTTTTCACCTGTAGAGTGAAAGTTTTTTTTTTTTCATAGCGCTCATTTCACTCAGATATAATCTATACAAGACTGATAATTTAGGGCTGAGAGGATGGCTTGGTAGGCACACACTCTCATTATATTCCCAAAACACAAGTAGAAGCCAGATGCAATATCTCAATCACCTGCCATCCTAGCCCTCCACAGCAAGATGGGAGGCAGAGACAAGAGAATCTCCCTGAAGCTCTCAGGCCAGCTAGCCTGACTCACAGAGCAGCAAAGAGCTCTCTCAAGCATGGTGGAAAGGTAAAGATTAACACTCAAAGGTTGTCCTCTGGACTCTACTTTCTGCTGGGACATGTTTGGGCTTGCACTCCACACAAATAAGCATGCACACACACTCTCCCTCTCTTTCACACACACACACACACACACACACACACACACACACACAAACAAGTACGCACACACACACACACAAGTACGCACACACATATACTCTCTCACACACACACAAATAAGCATGCACACACATGTACTCTCCCTCTCTCACACATACACAAATAAGAACACAAATACTCTCTCAGACAAATAAGCATGTACACACATATACTCTCCCTCTCTCTCACACCCACAAATTGATAACTTAGAATTCATCAACATTAAACAGTTCTGCTCTTCAAAAGAGACTGTTTGGTAATAAGAATAAGCCATCCAATAAAAAATGTGCAAGGGATTGGAACAGATACTTCAGTAAAGATTGCATGGGTAGCAAATGAGCATGAAGATTTGGAACAACACTGGACATGCCAACTGGAGCCACAGTGACATGCCACTATGCAGCTATTGTAACTATAGATAAAAAACCTGACTACAAGGTGGTGGACCTCATGGCCTACACAGCCTCCAAGGAGGAAGAAGCCCTGGACCCCCCACCCCAGCAAGGACAGGAGAGCAAGAGAGAAGCTTTGGCTGTTGAGGAGTCCCTATCCCAACTCTACCCCTGACACTGAGCATCTCCCTCAGTTTCCATCCCAGACCCCCAGAATAGTGGGAGGGGCCCAGGGAGCCCCATTCTCTTGAATACCATCAATAAAGCTCAGTACACACACCCCCCCCAACACATACAAACAGTTTTTGGAATGGTTGTTCACAAGGCTGCAGAAATGGAAGCAGAAAGCATAGGTTCTAACCAGGGTGAGGGTCCTATTTCAAGCCAGCTAGGTCCCATCTTGTGAAGGCTCTACCTTCTAAACTAATGTTATAAACTAGTGATCCAGTGCTCAAAATATAAATCTTTGGATGATATTTCAAACTTAAACAGCAGTGCCCTTTGTGACCTTTTCACTTATGTTCTCACTGTTCTGACTCCAGACGTGATTTGACTGCTGACCTCAGTGTAGACTCCTGCCATCCTCCCCAGGAGTTGCCACCCTTCCCAGAAAGCAAGTGGGGCTGCCGGATCTTAAGCTTCACGTTCTGGAGTTGTGAGCCAATGTAAACCTATGCAAGGGACTGTCTTAATTATTATTCTGTTTCCATGAGGAGACTCCGCGGCCCTCCGTGACGTGAACTGGGCCACCTCTCCATGTCTTGCCCACCATGACCGAACCCTCTGAAAGCATGCCAGAAATAAAATTTTCTCCCTTGAATTCTTTCTGTTGGGGATTTTTGGTCACAGCAATGTAAAAAGTAACTAGAGAAGAAGGGTCATCGGTGTAACTAAACTTGACAATGTGGTTCTTCGGTATTTGGAACTGATTTCCAGGAGGGATTTGGAAACCAGCACCCATAATCATTAAAATAGCTTGGTACTGGCACTGAAACAGACATGTTGGCCGTAGATCCAAATATATGTGGAAATTTAATATATGATATTACAAACTGGATGGGGAAAAGAAGCTTTTTTAATAAATGGTATTGGTTTTGCTGTTTGAGAAGAAAATAAAACTAGCTTGCTCGTTAACTCCAAAAACCAAAACAAATTTCAAAAAAAGATATGAAATTTAAATGAAAAAGAATTCTACTGATGTACTCAAAGAGGAAAATATGATTTTAAAAAAATGCGTGGAGGAAGAGTTTTAAAAACACAACCTAAAGGGCTGGAGAGGTAGCTCAGGGGTTAAGAGCACTGTCTGCTCTTCTACAGGTCCTCAGTTCAATTCCCAGCAACCACATGGTGGCTCACAACCATCTGAGGTCTGATGCTGTCTTCTGGCACACAAGTGTACACACAGACAGAACACCCATTAAATAAATAAGTTAATCTTTAAAAAAATACAACCTAAAATCCAGAATCAAGAAAAATTATTTAAATTGGGCTGAAACTTTAAAAATCTCTGTGGGGGACAAACCTTAAAAGTAAAAAATCAAGAACTAGTTCTCTTTTCCTCCCCAAATAGCATTATTTACATCCTTTGTTTTCCATATCTATATAATTTCTAAAAACACAGGTATAGTGACATATCAGGTTAAAAAACAGTATTTTAAAGCCTCTTATGAATTATGAGGGTTAATTTTATGGTCAAATGCTTGAGTTAAAAGATCCCTAGATGACTGTTCAAATACTGTTTGTTGTGTGTCTCTGAGGGATGCGCATTTGAGTGGATGAGCTAAGTTCGGTACATTCTCTCTTGTGAGTGGGAACCACTCAAACGCTTAGATAGAGCAAAAGGGTTTAGTGTGAAGTTGATCTTTGTCAGCTGAGTGAAGACACTGATCTTTTCTGCCCTCAGCAATCCTGGTATTCAGACCCTCAGAGGCTTGCACTTTCAGACCTTCAAGCCAGCTTATTCATTTTTCTGAGTGTCCAGTCTGTAGACAACAGATTGCGTAACTTCTCAGTTTTCTCCATTTGCATGGGCCACTGCTTCATTACCTGTCTCTCTACCCTACTTACCTGTCTGCTCACTCAGTTTCTCTGGGGGAGCACTAACGCTCACTGTCCCAGGTTGCATTCCTTCCCTCACACTCAGAACTAACACGTTTGCATTTGTTGCTGTAAGATTTTATTTCATCTTCTAGTTCCACCATTTATGGATGCCTGCAAATATGACCTTTATGTGAGTACAGCATTCACTTCCTGTTACCGTTAACAACATTCCAGCTCTCAGGTTAGCCCTAAACTTGACAAAAAAAAAAAAAGACACCTATTTTTGTACTGCTTTGGGTTTTTTCTAAGTATCTTTTCTATCAGTCAGCTAATGCCATTGGTGATGAGTACTCACGCCCTACTTTTCTTTACTCCTCTAGTGTCTTCTAATAGCCTCTTTTAGTCACAAAGAAGGCACACAGCAGTTGTGTATATGAGAAAAAATATGTATTATTTGGGAGAGATGACAGATGGAAATTCTGAGAGCAGGAAACTGATGAGGAAAGACAAAAATGATGATACCTGCCCCATTTCCAGGACCAATGATGTTAGAACTGTGCTAGTTAATTAAGAGAATCCTTTCTAACCCTTCCATTGATTATTCTAAGGTATGTATAATCATCTCTATTTTATAGATGAGAAAACTGAGGTCATGGCCATGGAAAATTCTGCAGTGAGTGCCCCTGGGTGTTAGCACATCAACAGGCAGTAATTTGGGGGGCAGAAAACTACACGAAAGACTTACCATAAGTGTAGATTAGTGCCATGAAAAACTCTCATTGAGAGTCAAGGTAGCCTAAATCTGGCCTCACTTCTGCTTCAATTGAGTGAAGGGTAGTGGAGTTCCCTTGAGGAAGCAATGTTTCTGCTCTGCCCAACAGACTGGCGAGCTCCATAGTCTTTCCTTCCTTCCGTCTTTCCGTCTTTCCTTCCTTCCTTCCTTCCTTCCTTCCTTCCTTCCTTCCTTCCTCCCTCCCTCCCTCCCTCCCTCCCTCCATTCCTTTCTTTTCTTTCTTTCTCTCTCTCTCTTTTAAATCTCTTAAAGGGGTCATAAATAGCACTTTCCTTTGGTATATTAATTTTTTCACGGCTGCTAAAAGAAAGCACCACGAACTTTTGATTTCAAACAGAAACTTGAGCCTGGTGAGGTGACTCTTGAAGCAGAGGAATCTCTAAAATCTCTGGCCAGGGCTACAGGATGAGTTCCAGGCCCCTCCTTCAACTACAGAGTTGAGACTCTTATCTCACAACAAAAACAGTAATACAATGAAATAGAAATTTGTTGCATTTTGGTTCTGGAGGCCACAAATCCAAAAGCGGTTTCATTGGCTCAAGTCCAAGTGTTTCGGGGGCTGCCCCATAGGCCAGAAAAGAATTCTCTCCTTGTTTCCTCCAGTTTCCGATGACCACTGACTGTCTTTTTTTTTGGTAGTGATCTTACTCAAGCCACTGCCTTCCACTTACTATGGGTAAAAACAATCGCACTTAGGGCCCATCGTAACCACCTTTGCTAAATTCCATCTCAAAACCCTTAGCTTTTTCCACACAGACTTTCAGAGAGGGAGGGGCAAGGGGCAGAGGTAGGGGCAGGGGGATCTCTGTGAGGTTAAGGTCAGCCTGGTCTATAGAGCTAGTTCCAGGACAGCCAGAGCTACTGAAGTAAAAACCTTGGTCTGTTAACAGAACTTGCTGTTAGTATTTACACATTCATCTTTCCAGGAAGCCCTGCACCAGGTTAACTTGCTTTTCAACACCTCAGGGAAGACTTTACCTGGAAAGACTTCCCGCCTCCGCACCCGCACCTCTAGGACTCCGCCCAGACAACTTGGCTTCAACCCAATATGCTACTTTGAGAGCACCCAGGCCTCTGCGGTCTGTCCGCACTGTTTCCTGTCAAAATAGAGACAATTTCACCCGATTGTATATATGTTCCAAGACTTTCTGTTGTTACCACAACACAGATATATTACGCAAACCGGATAGTGGCATTTTTCTTGTATTGGGGTGAAAAACGGGAGTGGAAATTTATGCATTTAGACAGGCATTACGTGAGACAGCCCAAAGGCGGAGCGGAGGGGCCTTCGCACTAGGGTCGCCGAGGACCTGAACGTGGCGCAGGCGCAGTGTTGAATACTCACCATGCCGACTGTCAGTGTGAAACGAGACCTGCTCTTCCAAGCCCTGGGCCGGACCTACAGTGAGTGGCCGCCCCGTGGCCTGGGCTCGGTGTCTGGGGGAGCCAGGCTCTCCTTACAGAAGGGCATGCTGGCGGGGTTTGGCCCTGCACGGCTACTGTAGTCCGCAGGGGCGCGCCGACGGGCTAGAGGCTGGGCTGGGCTGAAGTAGCTTCTCGGAACCAGCTCTGCGGCGCCTGCCGTTGCATCTTTGGCGCGTGTCGGGCTCTCAGGGTCATTCATTCAGAGTCTGAGCTCCTACTGCATGCCTAGCCCCGACTTGGGTGTCGGGACACACAGTAGGAAGGATGCCCTGCCCTGGGTTACAACACGAGCGTAGGCTGCTCTGTGGAGCCAGATTGACAGTGAAGCGGAGACGTTTGAGAAAGACGTGGGTCTCACCGTGCAGCCCCCAACTGCCTTCGAACCCGCCGTCTTCCTGCCTCAGCTTCCTGAGTGCTGGGATAACAACCGTGTGCCACCAACCCTGGCCTACGCTTTATTTAGTGTTGACTGGGCTCCAGTTGTGTGTCAGGCAGTGTTTGAGAGTAGAGCTAGGCACATGCCAGGTGAACGAGACAGTAACAAACCACGACGTTAGTCAGACGCTTCCTTGGAAATGCGAATGTTTCTAGGAAAGAAAACCAGATGGTGGGCAGAAGCAGCAGTTGATAGGTAACCGTTGATCTAAGACCCGAACAGAGTCTCTTCTATATTCACGGTTTACTTCATCTCTTCCTCAGTTCTAAAACTAAACCGTTGGCGGGAAAGAGAGGTAAATATTAAGCAAATTATCATTTTCCACACAGATGTTGTGATTGAAATGATATCCGCCCTCTTTCGTAATTATTAGCTTGTGTAAAGGTCATAACAAGTGATTTATGGGACCCCCCTCCCCTTTCCGTTTGAGTGTTAGAGGCCGAAATGGTAAAAAAGCTAAATGGAACAAGAGGTACAGCTGTTCATAATAATGTAATTTGTATGTCATGCAAATAAACTCTTACCGTTTCCTGTTAATCTTTGTTTGCATGTTTGTAGGTTTTTATTGCTGTTCTTTTTGAGACAGAACCTTATTCTGAAGTCCAGCCTGTCTCTAAACTTGTGGGTATCCTCCTGACTTAGTCTCCGAAGTGATAAAATAGTTGTGAGCAGGAATGGTCCCACATCAATAGAAATAGATGGCATATCTTTGCCTTTGGGATGTGACCCTAATTTCTTACCCAATATTCATTAATAATATGCTTATCTATGTTACTTATTCTGTTTTCCTAAACCATTCTCTACTGTTGGTGCTGTCTCTGAGCTGCACAAGAGGGTGGGTGGCAAGATTAACACGTTTAGAGTCGGTTCCTAGTCAGCGCCTTATCTCTGGAAAATTAAGAAATTGTCTGAATTTTAAAAGATGATAAGACTTATAACCTGATTGCTGATATCAGAGACTATTTTAATACATTCTCTAGCTTCTCCTTTTTTGCTCTTCTTTGATCACTCTGCTGAGTGATCAAATAAGCTTGATTCCCCCCCCCCCCAGATTATTAACTGTAGGCTCTTGAAATTATTTATGAGGTGTGCATCAGATGGGTTAGTAATACTCTTCATTGGCTTCTGTTGTCTTCTTTCTTGAATGTTTTCTTCTTAAATGTCAGTTCAGTTGTGGTTGGAATTGGAAAAGCTTATTCACCAAAGCATGTAGTTTCCAAGTGAAGTGTGGATCCCACTTGCTTCGTTCTCATTTGTCTCTTTCTTTTCAGATGGTGTCTCATTTGTGCTCACACATTCACTTTCCTAGGGTTGCTGTCCATCTGAATTCCATCGTTATTCCCAGTTGTCACCTTCCATGCCTTTTCTTACGGAGAACATTTCTCTTTCCAGTTTTTGCTGCTCAGGGCATTTGCTTCCCTTGGAGCAGCTCTGTCTTCTTAGTCTCTCTTTTGATTGTCTTTCTGTTCAGTTGTCTTCTTCTGAAATTTATTTTCCTGTGAACTGACTTCTTACCGTTGCTCTTCAGTCTGGCCCTGTTCTAGTCTGGTACAGTATGCACTGCAGAGCCGTTTTGTGTGCCACACACACAGATAGTTTTTTAGGCCTGCCATTTTCTTGTAGGAAATTATTCATTGTTTTATTTCTGGGTCTTTCTTTTATCTAAATTAAAAAACATATAGCTTTAAGGAATAAGATTTAGTATATTTTAATATTTCCATACAATTCGATTCATTGCCAGTTAGCTGACAAAATGTTTGTAAACTGTACCAATAATTGTTTGCTGTTTAGTTTCTGGTGGTCAAGAGTCAAGGTTTGGTGGTCCTGGCTCTAAAATCTTACTCCAGGTTGCAAATCTCAACTCAAGAGCTCACTGGGGCTGGAGAATCTGCTTTTTAAATCATTATTGTCATCATTATTATTTAGACTAACCCATTTTATTTTATATGTAGAAGAGTTTTGCTGTGTACCATGTTCATGTCTAGTCCCTGTGGAGGCCAGAAAAGGGCATTAGATCCCCCTAGACTTGAGTTACAGATGGTTGTAAACCACCATGTGGGTTCTATGAATCAAACCTGGGCCCTCTGCAAGAGCAGCAAGTGCTCTAAACTGCTCCCCTGCTGAGTTTTCTTAAGTGTTATCAGCAGACCTTGTTTACTGGCTGGCTTTTTTTCAGTTCCTTCTACCTTGGCTTTTGCTAATTTGTCCAGAAGGAGAACTCTTGAGAGACCAGGTAAATGGGAGCACTCTGGCAGTATCCTCAGTGTTTTATAATTGCTTGGAAGTGCTCTCCCCTCCTTTTCCGTATTCTCTTGGTCACACAGACCAGTCCTGACCTTGTGGAAGGGGACTAGATAAGTAGTTAGGTATCATTGGTGTCTTGTCTCCCTCCAGCCACCAAATGGTTCATGTTCATCCACATGCAAAATATACTTGCCCCAGAAGTGTCATCTTTCAGCAACTGCGAGTCCACAATCACATCATCTGAATTTGGTTCTGATGTTGGTGAGGGTCTTGGGATGTTTAGCATCTTGTGATAAGTTAAATAGCTACCTGTGAGGCTCAAGCAATAGGATGTCTCCCATACATCTAAGAGAGAGACGGGCCTGGGATAACTACTAAAGGGGAGGAAATGGAACTCACAAAAGAGCCATTGGTCCATGGCAGTTGTGAAATTGAATGGCAAACGCTGGATGGTCTTGATTAGGTCCCCGGCCTGGGATAATTCTCCATGGCTCTGCGCCTTGCCCTCTAGGCTCTGCTTCCCCCCTCTGAGTGATCCCCAGAAAGCATGTGCTTCACAGCTGATTAGTTTTCTCATTCTACTTCCTGTTAATAGAATTTTAGGGGCTCAAAGACTTCCTTTTGTCTTGCTTCCGCCCTTTTCAGTTCAAGCAGGCTGTGTCTGATGAAGTGTTTTTTCTAAAAACTTTCTGGGTCTTTGGTGAATTTTTTTTTTTTTTTTTTTTTTTTGCTAGATTCCTTTTCATTAGTTAAAAACCACCGACTCCAAAAACCTCTGAAATGAACTGTTTCAGTACTTTAGACTCTTAATTAGGCTTTATTGTTTGATTAATTGGATTTGTGAGGCACACCCTTAATTTCTTTATTACACCTTTTGTTTGAATGAGTTATGCCTTTGCTCTGACTGAAGGTTTTCAGTCATACCCTTGATTCTATCTTACACCTCGGATTTGGTGTCTGCCCAGAACTTACTTAATCTTAAGCATTGCTTTACATTGGGAAGGCCAATTTTCTTATTTAAGTCAACAACGTCCTGGCTTTATTTTTTATTTTTTTTGTTGCTTAATATCTTTTCCTATGTTTATCTCTTCTTACATACATTGTAATAAGAAAACTAAACGACAAGCTGCTCTTTGAGCTGGTCGGAAGTCTTTAGTTACAGCAGGTGAGAACATTTCTGCAGTCTGAGGACCTGCAGGTATGGTATTGATCAAGTTTCCCCCTTATGTAACAAGGATGCCCTTGTACATTCCTCAGTACTACCTTACTTCCCTCTCGGCCTTCGCCTGAATTCTGATTCAAGACCATGAGGCTTCAAGCCAATAGTGTTTTGAGGCCCTTGAGTTTTCTTTTACAGTCCTCAAAGCCTGCCTTCTGATTTCCAAAGCATCCCCACAGCTGTGAGTATGCAGCCACTCCCTTCACGGAGCGTAAGGTTTGTGTTAGTAATCTGTTGCTACATTACAGATTACCCTGGTTCTCAGGAGGAGGAAACGCTATGCCTTTGTTACTTCACAGAGTATCTGAGTGACAGGAACTGGAAGGGGATAGCTGGATGGTTCTGCCTCTAGCGATCGTACTAGGTTGCAAGCAAGCTGTCATCTAGAACTGCAGTCACCTCACGAATTGGCTGAGCTTCCTAGCTCACTCATGTGATTGCATTATACAGGATCATTGCAGGCCATATTGAAGGCTAGGAACCTCAGTTACTACATGCCCAAGTTAATGGTGGCACTACCCTCCCCCCTTTATATACACTTAAGCCAGAGACCTAGGAGCCATGCTATTCTTACTGTTCCTCCTGTAATTAGCTGGTCATTGAGCCTTATGCAGTTGCTGCTGACATTTCTCATGTCCCTTCTTCCCCATACTGTGTTTCATCTCTACTGTAGGAGGCCCCCTCTTCAGTTATCCTCCACCTGCCACCAGGTTTAAAAGTTCAGGTGTAGGGAACAAAGCTTGGTGCCTCCTGACCGATGGAAACACATGGGTGCCGGAGACAGGAGATCTGGAGTTATCCTAGTCTTCGTATATAAGTTGCAGGCTGGCTGGTCTAGTCATGAGGCCTTGTTTCAGAAATATAACAAAACAAAACAAAACAAAATGAAGATTTGGAGCTAAGAAAGAAAAAAACAAACAAACAACAAATCTAATCATGTTTTGCCTAGTTGAAAAATGCAGCTCCCATTGCCTGTAGGTAGGATAGAGGGCAAATCCCTTGGCGTGTCCTGGGCTACCCTTTT